TAATGTTCTTTTTCTTGTTGCAATTAAAAGAACATAAAAAGTTACACAACTCTCTTATCTAGAGTATCTTGGGTTGGAATGCTGTTATGTTCAAAACAAATTGTGAAAAATGAGTATTACCATTTTTTAAAGTACAGATTTTTGATGTGGACATTAATTACACTCGTGGCCTGTTCATTTGAATGAGTACTACTTTTTATTGGTTTTACTAGTTATAATCTTTAATTCAACAAATGTATTTCTACAGTATATTAGATGCTCTGTGTGGACAAAGTTATAATCATAAACTCTTTTTTTATAATATGTATATTTACTTCTCTTGACGTGGGATTGCACATATTTCATAGTCCTTCGGTGCCAGAGTGACACCGAAGCGGAAGTCCATTGAAGGCTTCACCCCAGCAGGCATGGACAAGGTGAAGTTCTGCATGAAGGAGGTGAAGAAGAGGAAAAGCTCCATCCTGGCCAGATTCTCCCCGAGACACAGCCGCTTACCTGAAACAGAAAAATGAATCAAGCATTTTGCTTCGTCTGCTTAGTAATCACAGGGATAGGAGTCCTATAACTAGTAATTGATGCAGCATACTGCTGACAAACATCCTCACATCATGATGCTGCCACCACCATGCTTCATGGTGGGGATGGTATGTTTGCAATGATGTGCAGTGTTTGGTGTCTGTCAAAGTATTGATAATCATAAACCACAGGATTGTAATGCCATGGGTTTTTGGTTGCTGCCAGTCAACTGATCATTTCTTGGGATTCTTCTTCTTCTTCTTTTTTTTTTTTTTTTACAGTTGCACTGGCGAGAAGGACTTATGAGCCCAGGCCTTTCTCCTTTGGTTTCCTCTGGGTCTTTCTGGACACATCCTTCCAGCAACATTCCTAACAATTTATGTTGGGACAGGCTCCTGAATAAACATGTAAAGATACAAATACAACATCTGATCGTGTTGCTGCTTACCAGCAGAGAAAGGGATGAAAGCTGCTGGTTTCACAAACTTGCCCTCCTCATTCAGAAAGTGTCCTGGGTTGAAGGTGTTGGGCGTCTCCCACTCATTCTTGTCGAACAGCACAGAGGTCAGATTGGGAATTATTATAACTCCCTGTTGATTGGAGTCATAATGAAAACTCAGCGTTATGCACAAAGTTATGTGACATATAACTGGACTACTCTTTTGAACAGTGACCTTTGGGACTGTGTAGCCTCCCAGCTGGACGTCTCTGTTGGTGATATGTGGCACGCTGAGAGGAACAATGTTACCCATCCTCTGGATCTCGTGGACAACAGCATCTGTGTAGGGCAGGTTTGCACGGTCCTCCATGGATGGCTGTCTGGACTGTCCAATCACTCTGTCTATCTCAGCCTGGACTTTTTCTGTGCAAAATGCAAAAGTATACATGATGGTTCTTCATTAAGATTTGGGGATAAATGAAGTACAGTGCCGGACAGATAAATTACAAGAAAGTATCCCTGTTAATTTGCAGTGCTGAACTTGTTCTAGCAGTACAAACACTATTTTTTACAGGTAGATGTGCACCTATCATTGCACAGCATTTGATGTATAGAGGTTGACTGTAACCTAGAAGTACTATTATGTATGAAAACAAAATGATGACCAGGAAAATTTATTTTAGTGTCACCATCAGTGTCAGCAGCTTCACTGGCCTGTTGATGCTCTCACCTTGGATCTCAGGATATTTTGCCATGTAGAGGAACGCCCAGCGCAGGGTGGTGGATGTGGTCTCTGAGCCAGCCACAAACAGGTCCAGAACACATATAATCAGGTTTTCCTCATCAAAAGTGTTGTCATCCTGCCCCTTACTCTGAGAATACATGCAAATACGCATTAGAACTTGCAAAACAATCGAGAAAAATTCAATGTCTGCACTATGTCAACCATGTGCATCACATTTAAGGATGTATGCTGCTGGAGATAAGATTGTGCTATTGTGCTATAGAAAGCAATCGGAAACTCAAAAATTGTGTCATTGCATTTTCCACCATTCACCAACCCGGAGTGGCGCCACAGTGGGATGTCGAATCAGCATGACAAACTAGTCTTAGCTCGTTCTAATGTAAGTACACATGTGATGTTCACAAAAGTGGAGCCCTGGTGATCTTCATTAATGACACAGTTGAAGTCATACAGCTCTGTTTCTTAGTGCCAGTCACCGTCTGAATCTCATTCAGGTAGCAGTCAATGTAGTCTCTTCGATCTGAGGGATCCATGGTCTTCTTGTGCTCGTTAATCTCTGCTCGAATAAAATCCTTCACATCTTTCCAGATCAGCTTGAGCCTCTTATGTGGACCTGGAAAGTGTCTGACCAGCGCAGGGAATGAGTTGTAAAGCTGCACAGAGGAGAGGTTGGAAGAATAATTTCAGATAATAATACTTAAGTTAAAGAACAAAGAACATACGTCTCTCCAAGTCAATTGCGGCATCTACAGCACTATGGACAAACTTATCAATTAAAGGCTTTTATTTTTATTTCTTTATGTTTTCCCTATTTTCTACTTTGGTGAGCAAAACTGAAGACATCAAAACTATTAGCAAACACATATAAAATTATGTTTTGGGTAACAGTGTTAACAAAATATAAGATCCTCTTTTAGATTTCTCCAAGTAGACGACTTTGCACAATCTTAGGATTCTATCAATACTTTATGGTGTCTTTAAGGGCCTGTTGAGGCACACCAGTACCCAATACCCCTTGTTTCACCGTTCTAAGGAGGGTGCAAAAGCTCAATAGAGTGACTGGCATGGGGCAAAGATAGCTCATTAGTGTGAAATGCAGGGTTTGGCTGTAGCACCATCCCTGCATCACCTGGCAGACAGCAACAGCATTCTTCATGCACTGAAGGGGAATGGAGCTTCCCCAGTCCATAAATGAATCACTTATGCCACAGCATTTTCAGGAAACATAACACTTCATAGCAACCATGTTGCTTATTTGTGAAAATATTACTTTACATACCTGCCATTTCATATTGAGGTACGTCAATTTTACCTGTAGCTTTAAAATGCAGTACCTGTGCGCACATGGAGGCTTGAATCTGGACTATTTCATCAAACATCTGCATCAGTTTCAGAAACTTTTCATCGCCATATTCAAAGCGATGACCAAAAACCAGGAAGCAGATGATGTTGGAGACGACGTTGTTCATGATCAAGTGTGGATTGACTGGCTTCCCTTCACAATTCAACAGAAAGTTTCAAATAAATTGTTTATTTGCTCATAAGAAATGTAAGACTGTGTGTTAACGATGTACCTTTAAAGCTTCTGAACTCTTCTGCACAATGTGTAAACTCATCCAGGATGACAGGTTCAAGTGACTTCTTGCCAATTCCAAAATATCTGAGGGTTGAAAGTGCAAATCGCCTCTGCTGCCTCCAGTTGTGTCCACTACTGAAAATCACACCTGGTTGTAAAAAATAAAGTCGTTACTTTTTGGACTTTATTTCATATGACATTGGATTATTTGAAAAGTAACTGTTGAGAAGCTGTACGCTACTGTACAAAATGTGATAAACAGATTAAATAGAACCTTTAAACAAATTTTAACAAACCATAGCACTGACTGGGAACATAATCAATGTGTACAACAATGTCTTCATAAGAGTCGCAAGAGCAGTGAGTTGAAAGCTGTTGATGCACAGGATGTGCATTTGTGTGTCTTGTCCTCTACCTAGTCCATGTGATCTCTCCGTCTGTAAAGGGTAATCTGGACGGTCTGCCAGGCTGTCTCCCTGCGTTACTAAGGCTTCTTTCAAAACCTCAAGCCCATTTAGTACGACCACCCGTTCCTGGCCTGTTCGTAGGCTGTACACGTCTCCATACTTTTCTGCTAACTGGGAGAGAATTTAGAAAAGAGAGGAGAGCAAGACACATGAATACAGAAACAGAAATTTAAGTCTTACCAGTTGACCTGTTTGCATTTTGAAGATTCCCTGATACCTGCAACAAATCCTCATGGGTCTTGGTGTGGTCAATAGAGAATATGTTGCCCACAATTGGTAGAGCCCAAGGTCCTGGAGGGAAGCCGACCGGCCGGCGGTTCTTAACATAATCTGCAACGATGATGAAAACTACTGTGAAGAGCAGCAGACTTTTGAAATCCCAGTCAACGTAGGATCCAATCAGAGAAAAGAATGAATCCATGTTGCAAACACAGCCTGTGTAACTAAAGACTGTTTTCTTTGCTTCTCCTGTGAGATAGAGGGTTGATGTTGCACTGCCCGGAGGGACTAATATCACTCCTCTCTCCCCTGTGAGGACAAAGCTCAATGTTATAGTTCTTAGCAAAACAACCACTGCACTGGACTCTGAACTGAATGGAAACAAACACTGTTAATCAGCTACCTATATTTAATTTCCCTGATCTGCCTTGCCGTTAGAACCACTGACAAGTAAAGTGTATAACATTGATCATCTCCTTACCGCACAATGCTCTGGTAGGAATTCTTGGGTTCGGGAAATCCTGCAGATGTCGTGACACGAAACATCCACCTAAGCACTGATGCAGACCATGCACTCTGCTCCATCATGACAATGCATCCTGCCACTCTACACAAACTCCCCAGATCCCAGACAGATGGAACATTCATGGGATGTGCTTGAACAAACCTGATCCACAAAGGCCCACATGATGTATTTTAGGCATGCCTAAAAATTCATGCCTAAAATAAGACACAGCTGACCCGGTGAATAACAGTAGAGAAGGTATTTGGATCATGTACATAAGCATGACTACTGTCACAGTGGAATTATATTTAACCATTTCATGCGGTGGAAATGTATAATCTATAACAACGACCTATGCAATACTATCAAGTGTTGCGTAAATCCAATAAAGCGTGCAACTTTCAGACAGAGAGGACAGGAAGTAAGTAAACAGTAAACTTTTGTCACTGTGCTCAGTGGTATAACAAAACAGGACATTCATTTACAATCTGGAGGTATTTGTACATTTCTTAGACTACAGATATCTCCATTTTATCTCCGAAGTACTTGTACAATATCACACTGAGATGCAAATACTGCAGTTTTTACTGCACTATATTTGCTTGTCATGTGCAATCAATTTCAAAGATATATCCAGTGGTTCCAAACAGTTAAAGCTTGTAGTCTGCTGACAAGTGCCCACTTGCAGCTTTTGTCACGATTAAGATGTCTTCCAGTTGTTCCATCAAAGACTGATTTTTGCTCTGAGAGGTAAAAGTAAAACATAAAACAAATTTGCGTAGAAGGACTGTTGTCCCTCTTGGTGGGTCTCAATATGTCTTGCACATCTGGACACTGCAATTTTTCCTCATTCTTTGTTGCAAAACTGCTGGAGCTGTGTCAGCTTGCACATTGATTGTGATCAACCAGCTCTTCTCAAGTCCAGCTACAAATTCTCAATTGGATTGAGGTCTGAGCCATGACTCGGCCACTCCGTTATGTTAATCCGATTGTCCTTCAACCATTTCTGCGTAGCTTTGGCTGCTTCAAGTCATTATTTTGCTGGAAAACAAATCTTCTCCCAAGTGACAGTCCTCTTGCAGACTGCATCAGGTTGTCTTCTGGAATCTCTTTATACTTCTATACTGCATTCATTTTACACTCTACCTTTACAAGCCTTCCAGAACTTAGTGGAATGCTATAATGTTCAAAAACTGTCAAAATTGTGAAAAATGAAGGCAAATATTTGTAAAGCAATGCAATTGTTTATTTGGTTTAAATAAAGTAAAAGTACAATGTATGGGCACAAATTGTAAAGGAATGGATTACCATTTTTTAAAATACAGATTTTTGATGTGGACATTAATCATACCCGTGGCCTGTTCATTTGAATAAATACCACTTTTTATTGATTTTACAAGTTAAAAGTTTTTGATTTACTTCTCCTGACGTGAGATTGCACATATTTTATATTCCTTCGGTGCCAGAGTGATACCGAAGCGGAACTCCATTGAAGGCTTCACCCCAGCAGGCATGGAGAAGGTGAAGTTCTGCATGAAGGAGGTGAAGAGGAGGAAAAGCTCCATCCTGGCCAGATTCTCCCCGAGACACAGCCGCTTACCTGAAA